CTTTTTTACACCTAATTGTTCATGCAAGATTATTTGTATTTGACTCATGCCAATGTCTAAAGTTGCCTGAATTTCGCGGTATGTCACATGTCGATCTTCCTCAATCAGCTTACGCACAGCATCAACGTTTTCTTGGGTGACTGCAGTTTTTGGACGACCTTGACGGGGATCATCACTGAGCTTGACACGTCCACGTTGAAACTCAGCAAACCAGCGATAAATTGTGGTTTTGGATGGGGCTTCATCACCAAATGCAGAAATCATCCGGTCAACACACTGTTTTTGTGTTAAACCACTTCGAAAGTCATAATAAATCATCACTCTTGAATTTTCTCGAGTCAATTCCATTTTCTCAACGACTTAACAAGTTTGACAAAACCCCGTGACAAGACCGAGAATCTTTTTTTAAATAAATAAATGGTATTCGATTTTTAAAACCAAGGAGTTTTCAATTAAAAAGATTTTAATATAACAGGAACAGTGGAAATATTCCATTCCCGATACTTTTAGTGCAGCCTAGTAGGCAGCGGCTTGGCTCTGCCCCTGGCATTGCTGACGTCCATGAGCGACGGTGACCACTTACCATCAAGTGGGCCTTATGCTCGTCTGCATACAAAGGCAATAAAAAAAATGTTTTATTTGTGTATTTTTATTTAATTTTATCTATTTTAATTCGTACATTTGGCTTCGCAAATAAGTTTGTTTAATTGAAATCATCAGTTGTACGGTAGCATGCAGGTAGCAGAAAGTACGGTAGCATGAGAAGTCATGGAAAGCTATCCGATTTGCGTATGCTGATGAAAACATAGGCTAGCTGATCACCTAAATGCATAATAATAACTTTCAGTTGTGTACTAGACCACTGAAAATTCAAAAGAATTTGCAAGATTGAACCTCCAATAATTTAGTGCGTTAATAGTCGATACAAGTAAACAAACGTTCAAAAATTTCAATCGTTTACTTATTTATTTGAGAGGTAAATGTAGTCATCGAGATGAAATCCTGTTCCATGGATATGTCAAACTTTTTTATATATTGTATTTATCGGTTCAGGTTACATCGGTCTTGAGAGATTACTGGCCTTAACCGACCAAAACCGTTCTACACGGGAGCCTCGTACTCATCATACGGGACTTCTTGTCGAACCGCTCTTTTCGATATCGAGTAGAAGGGGCCCGCTCCTCCCCGCAACCACTCACGGCTGGAGTCCCGCAAGGCTCCGTTCTCTCTTCGCTCCTATTTAGTTTATTCGCTGACGACACAACCGTTTCCTACTCGAGTAGAAACAAGTCCCTAATCGCGAGTAAGCTCCAGAGCGCAATGTTAACCCTCGGATCTTTGCATTAGACGCCTTCAGCTCTAACACTAGGAGCAGGCTTAGGGTCCCCGGTAACCGTACTCGTCGAACTCGACAAAGAGGTCGACGTGCAACCTAACCCATGCATCGGCCGCTGAGTTTCTCGCCGGATCTTCTCAGCGGGTCGCGATTCCGATCCCTTAGTAGATTTATTCGCGAAGCAGTTACTCTTGAGTTGTTAGGTTTCCTTCGGGGGCGCTCGAGCAGCTGTTAGCAAATCCCACCCCTCCTGGCTCAGCCTTTGCTTGCTTACCTGTCCTTGTGGAACTAGAAAGGCCTCCGGGCCACCAGTAATCCTTCAATCATAAAAAAAGATTACTGGTTCGAGTACGTGGCTAATGATTTTGAAAGCTGCCTTTCAAACGATGTCGTAATCTCAACTATATTGTTTAACGGTGATTCCACCGGAATAAGTGACTGCTTCGGGGACCATTGCACCTTTTTATACACTTGTAGGATGACGAGTATATAGTCAAACTGATGGTGTGTGGTTTTCGTTGCTCATAGACGTCAGCAATACCAGGGGCACACCGAAGCCGCTGCCAATACAGCCCAAATGAGCTTACAATACTTCGAAACACATCTATTAACCATCACTATTAGAAACCACTATTAACCATTATTGCAGTCGAGTCGATTGCAATCCCTTAACACTCAAAATCCAGCGTCCTCCTACACTAACAACTCGCTGAATTCTTCGTTGGGTCGCGATTCCGATCTCGTAGTA